CCTATAAGTGGTTGCATGCCATATGCGTACAGTACCATCCTCCGATCCTGTAATTATTATGGGAAGCTCAGGATGAAAACAAACAGCAGAAACATTGTGGGTGTGCCCATCTAGAGTCTGGACACAACTCTTAGTTTGATAATCCCACACCTGTTGATAGGATTCGGCACAAACATTTCCAGATCATACATATATACAGACTGAACACGCAAAAGGAGAAAGGACAACAGGTGACAGACCTTAGCAGTGTGATCATCAGAACCAGTGATTAGATAAGGCTTATCACCGCCCGTGAAATAATCAACGCAATTCACCCCTTTCATGTGGGCATCCAATGTGAAGTTTGGGTCAGGGGAGCCAAGGTTCCAAATCTAGAAAACAGTATGTCACCAGAGCTCACTTCCAACAAATATGCAGAACTTGTAATCAACAACTCACTAACAAACAATTATATTCATACCTTTATAGTGCGATCAAGAGATGCACTTGCAAAGGTGTTGGTGTCTTTTGGATTAAATGTCACTTGCATCACATAATGGGAATGACCCTCAAAAATTTGAGTGCACGCCCAGCCCTTCTCCCAATCCCAAAGCTTTATAAGCATGTCATCAGAAGATGACAGCACATATGGAAGCGTAGGATGAACAGAAACACACCTAATATAATCTGTGTGCGCCTCAAATACTTTGACTTTATCCATTGTATTGTAATTGTATACGCGAATAAACATGTCATCAGCACCAGCAACAACCCATTGCTTGCGAGCTATAAACTTTGCTGACCTAACTGCAGTTCCAACAAGTAGGCTTTAGATCACAACAAAGTGGCCCTCAGAATGAAAGAATTAAAAAAAAATAGTCACTTTTGACCCAAAAAACAGCGAATGTATGATATTAATCATGCACCTGGTAACTCAGTGGCCTCAAAGGATTTCACCATTGTCTACAAGAATAAAAACGAGGTATAAGTGGGCATTCCACGCTTAAGAATATATTATCCCCATAATGAAGATGTAACAAACTAAATGCAATTTCCAAAACACATAAAATTTATTTTTAAAATTTTTCTCATATCAAAAGAATGTTGGTTCTGTACATTTCAAATTATTCTTACTAAATCAATCCATCAACTGTTCAAACTCATGAAATAGCTGGTATTTCAGAGAATATACAAAGAATAACAGAATGTAAGACATAACTTGATTATGTTTGTAGGGAGTTGGTCAATGTCAAGCATGCCAACGTTTTTTAAAATGTTATCTTTACTAAGGAGATTAGCATTAGTAACACTTGATACCAGAAAAACTATCCAAAATGTCTCATTCATCATATTGCATTGACATAGGAAGCCAAAAATAAATTTGAACCAATAGATTCATAGAGAGGTCAATATGTCTAAAAAAGTCAGCAAAATATAATGAGGACAAGTTTTGGGACCAACATGATTTACTTACGAAATGCTATGAAATCCATAGTAATCTCAATCTCCTCCAATCACATTACATCTTAGTATATCGAATTGATTATTATATTTTAAGAATTTTTACCTTCTGAGCCCAACCCTTTTCGCCCTTGGATCCAATAAATAATAACATAGTTCCCAAATTATTTAATTTTCCCATTTTTCTAGAACTATATTATTCTGATGTCTTGTTTGAGCTGAAGCTTGACAAAACAAAGTCAACAAATCATTCATCACCAACAACAAAGTAGGCATGTAAAACATATATATGTAGGTGCTACCAAAAACAATGTCACTTAAATGGGAATCAACACCGCACCTGACTTTGGTAGTTCCAAATGCAAACAGTCCCTGAATACAAACTTGCCAAAATCCTGGGAGGAAATAGTGTTATGGACCATGTATAAGTAAAAGCACTTAAACTGATAATGAACTTAATTCCCTCAGACAATACCCTGTTTTTTTACTCAAGTAAAGTCAATGCTATATTTCATTTCTGGGAAGGGATTTTCAATGGTTCTTGGCATCGAAATATTGGAAAATGTAAGTAAACTTCGAATTTCCGTACAGATTATGCAAAAATAAACAGTGCCTGAACAAGAGTATAATTACCATGGCTCCGTTGGATGTAAATCCACGGATTTCACTCTCTCTGATCTTTGAGCGAGTTTTCTCTGATCCAGCAATAATCGTTAACATTGATGACATAACTAATAGTAAAAAAAATTGAGAACGAATGCCTAATATATTAAACAAAATCGACAGTACCTTAATCTCGAGTCGGAGAGGCTGTGCCATACCAATCCCGCAATAAACGAATACAACGAAAACGAAGAATATTTAGGTTAGAAATCACCACAAAACTAGATCTCAAATAGCAGCTTTCAAATTATAAATAAAAAAACTCCAATTTCAAGAGTATATCGGAAAATCCATGCATTTGAAAGCCTGATTTGCGAATCCGATTTGAATCGGATCTAAATCAAATCGAAACGTGAAAGCATTTGTGAATCCTGTAAACAAGTGGTGGACTCACCATCTTTTAGAGAGATGAACAACGAGCCCTCAATCTGTCAATACGGACAGTTGTGGGATGAAGAACCTAGAGATCCGAGTAAGATCACAGTGAATCACTTGGACTCTCGGTGAAGATCTTCGTTCTACCGATTCGCCAGCAGTGGGTGCGCGAGATCAAGAGAGAGAGTGACTGAATTTTAGAGAGAGACTAGATATAGAGTTTTTTTGCTCATGTAACAGCTCGACCTCGGTAAGTTGAGGGGAGAAGGTTGAAAATGTGTATATCAACGTAATATCAGTGGACCATTGGACTATGCAGCGTAGAGCAGTTCATAATATATGATTTTTTTGGGTTAGTATTTAATATTTATAGTTTAGGGGATGTATAGGATAAATTTCATTCGGAGTCATTTTGTTCAGAATATATATAATTTTTTAAATTATGGTTTTCAGCTAAGATTTTCATATTATTTTGGATAATTACAAAATGTCCCGTCTAGGTTTAAGTCATATTACAATTAAGTCATTATAGTTTCAATTTAAACAATTTATCCCCTTCAAGTTTTTACTAAAATAATTAACCCTATTATTTTATGAAAAGTTAATTGTACTAGAGATCCTCAAAGTATGAAATTTGTCTCATTTTAATTCTCAATATTTTAATTACATCATTTTAGTCTTTGAAATATTAAATATTCTTATATGTGATTCCTCAAGTAAACAATGTCCGAATTGCTAACGATTTTTTATTATAAATTTGTCACGTAATACTTAAATATGGATAAAAAAATAATTTGAATAATTTTTGACCAAATTTCTACCAAAATTTTGGTTAAAGAGCTACTCAAATTGCGTAATTTTGATCATGAGCTATCTAAAATTTGGTTAAAAGATACTCATATTACAAATTTTTTGTCAAAAACTATCCAAATTATTTTTTACGTATATTTAAGTACCACATGATAAATTTATGATAAAAAACCGTTACTAATTTGGATGTTGTTTGTTTGAGAGACTACATAGAAACATGTTCAATACTTCAGTGACTAAAATAATACAATTGAAATATTAAATATCAAAATGAGACAATTTTTATACTTTGAAAATCTTCAATATAAATAATCATTTTATGAATATCAAAAGGATGGTATTTTAACTTTGGCTAAAACAAACAATTTCTAATCAATAGGTTTCTAAAATCAAAACCTTCTTGATAATCTCTGATATCAAAATCATATGTAGACATCTAAGAACGTCGATTTCAGCTTAGTCAACTTGTATTGAAAGAAAGAACTAAGACAACGGACGAGAGCCTGAAGGCAAGCCAACTCCATCATGGTCTGACTTCTTCTTTCACTTAGATTGTGTCAATTGCTCATCCCTCTTTTTAATACCTCTCTAGCATCCCTCTTAATATTAATCAATTCATCTCACCCCTCATCGCCTCTTCTCGTGCCATCAATTCCATAGCAAGAAAATTAATTTTAGATTGAGAATACACAAAAAAGATAACCTCATTGTTAACCAATAACTTTAAACACCAATTCATGGCATCCCCCAACGACAAAACCTATTAATACATCAACACCCTACATTAGAGCTCTCAATCCGTCCAGTTGATTAATTTCAATTTTAATAGACAAGAATTCACAAACTTTTTGCACTCATGAGAGAGAGGTTTTGTGTATGTAATTAATTATTTACATGTGATTGTGTTACGGAGAAAGAGATAAAAATATCAATAATAAGCGAGAGTATATGTGCAAGAAAGAAATAGAAGAGAGAGAGAGAAAGGGGAGGATGTTGGATATGAGATGAATCTTTTTAGAGTTGGGCTTTATATTGTTCAAATTGAGGATTAAATTTGGAATGAGTTAACATTATTTTAATCATTATTGAAATAGTGTTATGAACATTTTAATAATTATGTTTACTTACATAAGTACATCTGGTGGCTGGAAGATTGTCAAAATAAAAGAGGGTAATGCCATTGTTAAGTTGTGCCTGAACTCCAAAGTTCAAAACAATATTTACTCTTGGTTTAACCGAGTGTGACTCTTAAATATGACACGATTTATTAACACGACACGAAATTAGAGGGTTTGAGTCTTATTTAAACGTTTCATAAATGAGTGAGCCCGACGCGATATCATTAATAAATGAATCGGGTATAAATGAAGTTAATCAAAAAAAATATACAATACGACTCATTTATATATCGATTATACATAATTCATATACGACACGAACTCGTTATAACACGAATTAATAAACGAATCGGGTATGGACAGAATACTTTTTAACACGAACCCGTTAAGTCTCGATACAAACCCGCTTCACCAGACAAGATTGACAAGCCTAGTGACTCTATCCAATCGAATAATTGCTTTGCTACTAACATGTGCCATAACCATGTTCTCTTTTGGCAAATGCAAGCTATTTGGCTCTTGAAGGTTTCTAAAAATAGCAGGTACCAACTCTTTCTGATGTAAGGTTTTTTTTTTTGATATAAGTTGGAATGGGTCAATTTTAAGGTTAGAATTCTATGTGATCTTTCAAGGCTACACCTTTCAACAAAAACATCATAAATTACTTCAAAAATGACATAAAATAAAAAGGCCGCCCTATCAGTACTTCCAGTGACCATCAGGAACCAAAAGGAGAAGAAGATATACATCTATTTCAATACATTCATACTATAGATGGTAAGAAACAATTCTAATTTTCCTGGCAGTCACTTTTAACACAACATAGTAGAAATAACATCAACACTAGTGTATGACAACATTATTCCATCTCTCTCCCAGCTGAGAAATTGATGAAGTCTTTTTATTCACTATCAACATAAGCAAAGGTAATGGTAGTAGCCATAGCAGCAAGAGCACTAAACAGCATGTTATTCCCTCGACACTTCCTCCTTGTGCCCAAGCTTCACAGAATCCCAACTGTGAGAACAGATAACTTTTCCCATGATGGTTCCTTCGTCACAACCAATTACAATCCTGTCAAGAGAAGAATGGTAAATTGTAAGGACAACAAGAACACAAAGAAGAATGGAAGCAACCCCCGTATGATGCCCAAACAATATGCTCATTTCATGTGTTGTATATATGAAAAAATGCACTTTAACAGCTTAAGAGTGTGGTACTGACGGAATCGGTATGTTTACACAATCATTTATTGTATTAAACGTCTTGATACAAATTTAAATCAAGAGGCGAATAATCATCAACAAACTTACTCTGGTGAACCGCTTCTGCATCCAATAGCCCAAACTCTTCCAAATTCAAAGTTCAATGTGTTCTCGAGCCTGTAAGCCAGTTGGAATGGTCGAGACATTTGAAATAGTAATCAGTTTTTCAACTATTTTTAATGGAATATGCAATATTTTCAAGATATTTATGTGAATTTCCTACCGCAACATCTTAAAAACAAATTGGCAAATCTACATTCAAAGCTATGAGAAGGCTGGATTATTTAGCCAATAGAAGGAAAATATTATTTAAGTCGAAATCAAGCTATCATCCAAAATCTGCAGGTCAATTTGAAGGCAAATGGCTTCTAAAATTTGCAACTTTCTAGGGGAAAAAGGATGATTCATCTAGGATTGTAGTCATAATTTCAGACACCCCCTTGAATATCAGTATTATGTGAACCATGTGAGGGTTCCTAATCTCGGAGCAGAGCTCTTAATAATCTCAATTTTGTATCAGCAACTAGCCACCTATAGCAGTTACCTATAAGTTAACGCGTGCCATATGCGGATGGTCCCATCTTCAGAGCCAGTGATTATAATAGGAGCTTCAGGATGAACACAAACTGCAGTCACATTGTGTGTGTGCCCTTCAAGTGTCTGAACACAAGTTGCAGTTTCGTAGTCCCACACCTGTTTTCATAGTTTCCAAACGAAGATTCAATAAACTCCAAGACATATATTCATGGACTCCGCAAGGTTGAAGAAGTATAATGACATTATGCAGACCTTAGCAGTATGATCATCAGAACCAATTATCACATATGTTTTATCACCACATTTAGAGAAGTCCACAGAATTTATCCCCTTAGTATGGGCTGCAATTGTTAAATTTGAAGAAGTTGATTCAAGATTCCACATCTGTAAAAGGAGGCATAACAACAGATGCATTGATCAATCACACACAGCAGAAAAAACAGTGCATGAATTATAAACAAACACGAGCCTAGGCATGCCTGGATTGTTCTATCAAGCGATACACTTGCAAAGGTGGTGTTGTCTCTTGGATTAAATGCTACTTGCATCACATAATGACCATGTCCCTGAAAGACCTGACTACACACCCAATCCTTCTCCCAATCCCAAAGCTTTATGTGCACGTCATCAGATGCTGACAGAACATATGGAAGGGTAGGATGCACGGCCACAGACCTAATATAGTCCGTGTGTGCCTCAAATTCCTCAAGCCTTTCATCAGTGTCGTAGTTGTATACACGAATAAACTTGTCATCAGCTCCAGCAACGAACCATTTTTTCCGTGCTATAAACTTTGCTGACCTTACTGCAAAAGGCACATGAAACTCAACGGAGCTTTATATATAAACACATACATTTGTTCTCAAATTAAACTAATGGCTTTTCATGAAATATGTTTATGACATCAAACAACTAGAGAAAATGCAAACAGAAAATGAAGAGATTGCACACCTGGTGCTTCTGTGAGATTGAAAGACTTTTCCATAGCCTGCAAAAATAAACAGATATTCATTAATTTCTAAGAGACTAACTATCAATCATTGAACCCACAAACGATGTTCGAATTTTTTTTTTTGTCATTATGTTTTATTTTTCATACTACCCATTTTAACTTGTGCACTATTTTGTTAAGTCCATTGATTTAAAAAATTTAGCTGCAGGTCAATAGGTTTCCATACTATATGTAGTCACAAATTTTTCTGTTTTCATCACTTGTGCTATGAACTCCATTTGTAATTGATCTTTTTCTAGCAGGGTATGTTGGCATTCACACCATAGATTATGAAGTAGAATGCTTCCAAGCCCACAACAATATGAAAAATCAGTGTTGACCATACCAAATCAGAGCACACGGGTGAGATAGAGCATAAAATTTGTTACAAAGGGAGCAATCAATCATTGGCAGAATAAAGAGTATCATTAGGAACACAATGTCCTTACTTGAGATTGGTAGTTCCAGATGCACACGGTTCCCGAGTGTAAACTTGATAGAATCCTGCAGAAAACAAGTGTCATACAACATAATTAGATAAATCAAACACTTTGAAACAATGAAACTTTGTGACTTGAGGCATTGTTTGCATTAAACGAATAGTAAGAAATAGAATGTCACAAAAAACAAAAGCTAGTTTTCAGATACCATGGTTCTGTTGGATGTAAATCCACAGATTTTACTCTCCCGGATCTTTGATCAAATTCTTTCTGATCAAGAAATAACATTCAATAAATTAGTCAAAAGATTCAAAAAGATATGGTATTAGAACACATATTATTAATAGAAAGAATGAATTTGTGAATTGCTTAGGATAATACCTGAATTTCGAGGGTGAAAGATTGTTGCTCACTAGACTTGGAATCCTGAAACAAGGCCCAAAAAAAAATAAAATTATCACTTTGATTTCAAGTGCAGAGTAATGAATAATTTCACATCATCATATGATTACTAGTGAAGCATTGTGCTAATGAATGAAATTGATTCTAAATGACCCTATTAAGTTGTAACTCGATCTATTTAGATCGTAACTTTCTCGAAGGAGAACGGAAAGACTAGGGAGCTCACCATATTCAAAGGTCAAGGCAGCAGAACAATTTTTTCACTTGGGGGGAGTGAGTTTGTTTGTAAAATCAATAGGAATCAGAAGAAGATTGTGGTTTTTGGATCAGTGCAGGGTTGGTCTTTATATACCGATGGATGCGTAGCAGTTAAGAAAACATTTGCCCGCCTTAAGGCCTTAACAGCCCAACTAAAAACTGCTTTGGACTGTTATCTATGCTGTCATATGATGGTCCTGAAGCCGTTGATTTTAGCGTGTGGCAAAATTGGCGGTGGAGATCCAAGTTCAGTTCGACCCTGACATATATACCATGCAATTCGAGGAAGGTAGGTTTGTTTGGCTTTGTTGACTGTTCTTCCATAAGTAATATATACGTGCTGACAATTTGGCACATCAATTTTAGATTTTTTTTTTAAATAATGACAACAATCGATAAATATTTCTTTTGTTAGAGCATTTACAACAGATGCTTCAAATGAGCAAAATAGCTAAAATTTAGTTATTTTGGAGGCAAAATTCATCTCCAACGGATGCTGTTCATATTATGTAAAATGCATTTTTGCCACAGTGATACTCTAAATATAGAGTGTCACTGTAACAATATGTAAACATTATATATATTATTTTCTCTCTCTTCCTCTCCTTTCTTCCATTCTCTCTCTTTCACTATTCCAAAAAAAAAATAATACAAAAAGAATGATAAATAATATTTAAAAAGAGTAGTTAAAAATATAGAAAATCTGTTGGAATGTGTATTAAAAAAGTGAATAACTAAAATAAAAAATGTTACTTTTTAAGTAACTAAAATACATTTTATTGTTGAAGATGCTCTTATGAAAATAAAAATATGCATGACTAGTAGTAAATAACATGCATGTGGCACCGATTTAATTAGAGTTTCTCTTGTTAGATTTTAAAATTTCAAAATATTGAGTACTCAAACTCCGTAGTAAACTCTTACTTGTAGTGAGTTTGATCTTTAATAATTAAATATTTTAAGTTTAATTCTTTTCCACATTGTTCTAAAGACTAGCCACCCTTATTTTTCTAGGACATGCCCTAATCTAACGTAAGTCATAGTTATAACTACTGAGTTTGAGAAAATAGTTCGTACAAATTTAACATATATGTTGTATTTGGCAAATTAACAACCTTGCCTTTCAATCCTAGTTTTTTTTTTCCATTGTTGAAAGTATAAAAAAATAAAAAGTGAAGCAAAATGTGCCAATACTTGTCTTTTCGTACCGGGAGACCGCAAAAATACTTGTCCAAATTATTATTTTTTTAACATATGATTTTATTTTTCTTAGTGTTGCGAAAATAATGATTGGCAAAAGGAAAGCATATATATATATATATATATATATATATATATATATATATATATATATATATTTTCAAGATTCTTTCGTCAGAGAAAAAGAATTCTACAGGTCATGAGTGGCGGCTGATGTGCTCCTTCTGGTCAGCAGTGCCATGAAAGGAACATCTTAAGCAAATCCCTTATGGCTTGTTAGGATGATTTTGAGATAGATTGGATTGGTTTCTCTAATTTTTTCTAAATTCAACTCCTATCTTTGTTTTTATGAAAGTTGTTGAAAAATTCAATTCATACTCATATTTAGTCTGTAACCTATACATATGTGAGATCTATGGATGTATCACCATTATCATCATATATTTATCTTTTAAATGACTATATTGTCCATTAACTAATCTAATCCATATTTATGTTTGTTTAATTTAGAGATACAAAGGATATTTACCTCAATAATTCAAGTAAGGCTTGACCATAACCCACCCCCTCATGGGTTTGATGAAACCCACGTTCAAGGGTTTAAGGTATCGGGCCGGGACTGTTGTCCATGGCTTAAAAAAGTCATCCAAACAAAAGTTTTGGGAGTCCATTAAACTATTTTTTTAAGAGATAATGTGATGTGAGTACTTTTTTTAAAACTTATTTGGCTTTAAGTACCACCTCCAAACTTATCCTTCTTTAAGTTTTTTTTTTAAATCAAATAGTTGTCAATAAATACACATTTTAAAATATTTTCAAATTCTTTCTAAAATATATTCCTACCATAAATAGTGTATACCTAATTCACAACTTTTATATTTTCAATATCTAAATATTAGAATGTGAGATTTTCAAGATTTCTTTTGATATTTGTGTATCATTTGAATTATGTGTGTGTGTATATATATAAATATATATACGTGTGTGTGTGGATATATATATACTACTCTAAAAAGTCACAATATGTGAAAAATATTTTTTTTTATAATTTTATCCTCTAACATTTTAATTATGTCATTCCTATCTTCTACTTGCCAGGCGTTAACTTGTCTCTCTATTTCTATATCCTTTGTTCCTGTTTTCTCTCTCCCCTTTCTCTCCCTATTTCCTCTCAAATTGAAGTTGTCGTTACACTGTCTCCCTTTCTCCTACTTTCTCTCCCTTTTTTTTCTCTCACTCCTCCAAATTAACAGTCGTTCTCTTCATCTTCCCTCTCTGCCTCTCTATCTCTTTATACCTATTTCCTTTCTCAAATTCGCAGTCCTGATATTTACTTCTCAGCCGTTGCATCCTCTCAAATTAATAGCCATTTCACATATATCAGTGAAGAGTACACCACCCCCTTGATCGATCACCACCTCCCTTCACCGTCCCCCTCTCAGTCTCTCTCTCCCCAAATTTATTTAATTACATGTATTAAATTACAATAGTCAGTTGCCTATTATAGATTTCAATTAGGCATCCATTTTCTTTGGTTGTGCCTATACACATCCCAACAATTAATTAGTTTAATTAAAAAGACTACTGGGCTTCTTCAAAATCCTATTTACAATTGCCATTTCCTGTCCAAAAAATTCTTTGAAATCCTATTTGCCAGCCCCCTACGCCCTTTGCCCCCAAAGACGTTTGCTGCCTGTTGTGTCTTGGCATTATACTTTACACAACAAAACTACTGTCTCTTCAAGCTTTCCACTGCTAGAGGAGCTCCACCCTCTCCCTCTGACCAGGTAACTACTGTGTTAAAATTATTAGTTCTGAATTTTTGGTTTGTTTTTCGTTTGAATTATTGCTGAATTATATCAAGAAATAGTGGACAGCATCACAACAGGAAAAACTAGAGGAAACCAAGTAGGACGACGAATAGTACTCCCCACATCATTTGTTTGAGGGCCTAGAGACATGCGTCATAGGTACCTTTATGCTATGGCAACGGTACAACATTATGAAAAGCCTGATATTTTCCTCACTATGACATGCAACCCTGAGTGGAATGAAATTAAAGATGAATTGAAAGAAGGTTAGCTAGCTCAGGATCGACTAGATTTAACATCAAGGGTATTTCGAGAAAAATTACATGATCTTAAAGACCAACTCTTGAAGAAAGAAATACTTGGCCAAGTTGCAGCACACGTCCATGTAATCGAGTTTCGATTGCCACATGTACATATCTATGAAGCCAGGGTACAAGATGACAACACCAGATGAATATGATAAATTCATTTCAACAGAAATTTCTGATGAACGTGAATATCCATTACTCCATGAAGTGGCTGTGAAACATATGATGCATGACCCGTGTGGCAAACTGAATAAGAATAACTCTTGTATGGTCGATGGGGAGTGCAAGAATCATTATCCTAGAAGATTTTGCTCGAAAACAATGCAAGGAAATGATGCATATCCACTTTATAGAAGAAGAGATGATAAGCGACAAGTACAAGTTCGAAACAAAATGCTAGATAACAGATGGGTAGTTCCTCACAATCCATACCTTCTCACAAGATAAAATTGTCACTTCAATGTTGAAATTTGTTCTGGCCTAAAAGCTGTAAAATATCTCTACAAGTATATCTACAAAGGCCATGATAGGGTTGTTGTAAATATCGCCTTCGAAGATGGAGAAAATGCAGTTGACGAGATTCAACAATTCCAGGATGCAAGATGGATATCAGCTCAAGAATCAATGTGGAGAATTTATGAGTTTAACCTAAACGAGATATACCCGGCAGTAACAAACCTACAATTGCACCTCCCCAACAAATAATCAATTTACTATTGGGAGACACAAAATTTGGAGCAAGTAATACTCTGGGACCACAATATGAAAACAACACTTACAAAGTACTTCAAAACTTGCTTCACTGACATTGAAGCAAGAAAGTATTTGTATAGAGAATTTCTAGAGCATTACGTGTGGAACAAGCAGGGTAAATGTTGGACTAGAAGGAAAAAAGGAGAAGTTATTGGTCGTGTTAATGGGACTAATCCTATGGAAGGTGAGAGATATTATCTAAGAATATTGCTAAATAATGTTAGAGGTCCAACATCTTTCAAAGATTTATTGACCGTAGAGGAAATACATTATTTGTCATTTAAAGACTTTGCACAAAAAAGAGGCCTTCTAGAATCCGATGAAAGCATCTCAGAATGTTTGAATGAAGCTACAACATTCCAACTACCTCAAGCACTACGCAGACTTTTCGCAACAATATTGGTTTACTGTGAACCCTCAGATGTAAGAAAACTATGAGATGACCACTTTGAAGCCATGTCTAAAGACTTCAACAAAATCTACCCAGACCAACAAACATTCCATGTATCATGCACATTAGAGAGTATCAATACCTTCTTGGAAAGCATGGGGGAAAAACATTAGTGATTATGACTTGCCTACAATCACTATTGCAGATAATTCAAGCTTAACTAATCAAAGAAGCAGAAATTCCAAAGAAACTGGAGATGAGCTAAGCATTGAAACGCCACCGGAGGACTATTCTGCCCCACATAACTTTAATCCCGAACAAGAGTTTGCATATACAACAATATTAAATCTGGTGAACTCAGGCAGATCTGGAGTGTTTTTTGTTGATGGCCCAGGAGGAAACAGAAAGACATATTTGTACCGTGCGTTGCTTGCAAACATGAGAGCAAGAGGAATGATTGCACTTGCAACAGCAACATCTGGAGTAGCAGCAGCAATAATGCCAGGGGGTAGAACAACTCACTCACGGTTCAAAATACCGATCCTCACAACATAGACAAGTTTATACAATATATCCAATCAGAGTGCAACTGCGGACCT